TTATCTCGACGGTCAGTTGGCACCTCTCTCTGATGAGGTTCCATACGACTGCCGTTGCAAATCCATCTTTGCCGGCGACCACAAACCCAAAATCCCAACTTGGTGATGGGTTAGGGGCAAAACCGTAACTGTAAAATACACAAAAAAAAATTTTCATTTTTTCATTAAACAAATAGTTTAACTCTAAGAACAAAAATATAAATTCATATCAATCCACTAACCACAAATAGTTAATTTGAGTATTTCTGTTATATTGTGACCATCTTCTATCTACATGTACAAGTTGAAAACCTGATGAGTACTTTGTGTAATTTGCCCTAAATTATTACATAATCTACTACCAAACTCATGCATCCCATTTTTCCACATGCACCATGTAATTTAAGAAGGTGACTCCAAAGAGTATGAATTCCCAACTACAGCTAGGAGTACTCTTACCATTTCAAAATTTAATAAAATGAAAATGTAAAGAACAATTAAAAATTCATAATTATAACAATCTTTTATTCCTCTTAGTTTAAAGAATTTGAACATAAGATAATGCACTAGATATATATCATGGTAACCCTTAGTGAGGGTAAATCTCGTGACAAGTTGAAAGATCGAGGTTTTAAGTTATCATAACAAAAGTGGGTGTGTTAATTATTTGACTCGTAAATTCAAAAATGTACCAGTTTAGAAGAGATAGAAGTGTTTACTTCGGGCGCAAATCATCTGCTGTGCGGTTTTCATGTTGTCTCCTGCAGTGAGCGTTAAGTGGTGTTAGTTTGGCAACGTTTTACTCCACTCAATATATACTAAGACTGTGTTTGGCAATTACACAATCATTTATTAGTAACATTTCACCACCATTTATAAGTATCTTCACCCTAAAAATAAGGTATTCACACAATACAAACTAAGTAATGTCACATACAAACGTAACTCAATTCACAACTATTTATAACTAATATTTCACCACCATTTATTAGTATCTTCACCCTCAAAATAAGGTATGCACATAATGCAGATTAAGTAATGTCACATACAAACGTAACTTAATTCAACATATCATTTATGTTATAATTTGAAATTAAAGTATTTTAAAAACACTTTAACATGTTAATTTAAAGAATTTAAATCAAAATTAAAATCACTTGGATTAACTTTAGACAACAAACAAAACACCTCGTTGTTTCCAAAAATAACGAAAAGAGCCACATCTTTTTTTTTTTTTTTCTTCAAAATATTAAAAAAAAACATGCACTTAGTTTTAAATTATTTAACATATCTTTGAAAATTATTTAGGAAAATTTTATATTAATTGTCACACACACAACCTTCACCATCAAAAGAAAAAAATTGGCAAAGTTTAAAATTAATTGTCACACTCACCACCTTCACCATCAAAAAAATGTATTCACATAGTGTTAAATAACTAATAGTCATACATAAATCTAACTCAATTCTACATATTATTTATATATTTTTTAAGTTAAATTTTATCATAAAAATAGAACATCCAAAAAAATAGTCACATGTTAATTTAAAGAAGAATTTAAAGGGGATTATGAGGTATTTGACTATCAACAACCCTTTACTTTTTAAGTAGTGATGTTACCCTTTTACAAATGGTGATGTTACTTTTTAGACTCATATAATATTACTTTTAGACTTTTGTGATATTACTTATAAATGGTGGTGAAATGTTACTTATAAATAGTGGTGTAATTACAAATGGTGATGTTACTTTTTAGACCCATGTGATATTACTTTCAGACTTCTGTGATGTTACTTATAAATGGTGGTGAAATGTTACTTATAAATAGTGGTGTAATTACAAATGGTGATGTTACTTTTTAGACTCATGTGATATTACTTTTAGACTTCTGTGATATTACTTATAAATGGTAGTGAATGTTACTTACAAATAGTGGTGTAATTGTCAAACACAGTCTTAGTGTCTATTGAGTGAAGTAAAACGTGGCCAAACCAAGACCACTTAACGCTCATTGTAGGAGACAGCATGGAAACCGCACAGCAGGGAATTTGCGCCCGTTTACTTCAAATGAAAGTGACAAGAAGCCTACCAAAACATATATAGAATTAAGTAATTAAAAATGAACTTAAAAAATTAAATATTCAAAGAAATATTGTGTATAATAGAATAGATAGAAAAGGGAAAAGTGGATGGCAAATATGATAATGATTATTGAAAATAAAAATAAAAAATCCTTTAACAAAATGAATTTTCAAATTATATTTTGTTCAAATCTGATAGCACAACTTTTGATCAGAAAATATTTGATGCTTTAACATCAAAAGTATATAAATATGTGTAAATTAGATTAAATTAATTTGAAAAATGGTACACACAGTTGGAAATTGACTAATTTTAGAAAACACAGTGACTTATTTAATACTTCAGACTGGCATGCACCATCTTTGGAGGGAGTGTACTGGATGATCATTAATAATGCAGATGCAGGCATCTGAAGCTGGTGGACCTCCCCTCTGATTCTTTCATTGCTTTCCAAGATCTTGACCATACTGAAACCAATAGTCTTTTGTGTGTGTGTGTGTGTGTGAGTGTGAGAGAGAGATAGAGAGAGAAAAGTGTTCTTAAAACAAGGCTATTATTACTCATACACTCCATAAATTTTTTTTTTTTAAGTTATCCCGGAAAGGAATGAATTCTTAGGGTGCCTCGATGATCTGAATAATTCTTGAGAAGGGTGGCTTTCTATCAGGACCGACTAAGTCACTGTAAGGATAACAAAAGCTAACTACAAAGAATACTCAGCGGAGACTCAAATCTTAGACTTAGGGTTTATGAAGACCCTAAGTCCAACGAGAAACTCACTGGGCCATATTCAAAGTAGACACACTCCATAAAGTGTGCATCTAGGTGTGACTATGTTTTATTTGAATGTGACATAAATGACATTAATCATATGCAAATCTGTAAAAACACATTGGAACAAACTAGTAGAGATGAGATTATGAGTGGGTGGTTGATGAAGAATTTCAGTAAGAATACACATTACAATCATGGACTTGATTCTCTGAGCCATGAAAACGTAGCCGTGCCAAAGATTTTAGTACATTTTTGGTTGAGCGACATAAATTTAAAAGTGAAATGTCTAACCTAACTTGGGTCAAAGTCGTACCGACGAGTTGACATTTTGATGAATTTTAATAAATAATTTCTACCCACGATTTAATAAGAATGACCGTGTATTACTTAATATTTTGTACGATAAATTGAATTGCATTCTCGATTTAACAGTGCTATAATATTATATTTTAATTAATATACATTGTATAAGAATTGCATTCTCGTAATAAATATATTGCATGCGTGTTTATATTACTATTATATAAATATATATATATATATTTTTAATATAACGTGTTACATTCTCTATTTAAAATCTAATTAGATCATCTTTCCTGACCCTTAAAAGCAATGTATCATATCTGGTCTATTTTGATAAATAAATAACAATATCAAGTGACAAAAACTAGTATCAACAAATATTTTTGGCAAGTTAAACTAGTTTCAATTTTCTTAAATTAATATAACTTTATATACGACTCTGTTTGTACCATACCATGCTATGGGCCAATACACACCATTAGGGTCAACCATTATTAATTAGCAAAGGGACCCTGTAGAGTTGACTTGTACGATTGACTATACTCCACTTTTGTATAAATAAATACAATATTAAATTAAACCAATAAAAGGTGTAATATTAGCATCTTATGCCCATTTTTCACTTTTTTTTAAAAAAAAATAATAATAATAATAATAATTGATAAATAGTTCGAAGTTAAACACATTCGATTGATAGTTCAACATTTGTATAAATGTAATTGGATATATTCTCAACTCTCTATTATAAATTATTTTTATTAAATGTGAATTAAAAGAGGATATTCTTCATCTTTCCGAATCTAATGAGGGAGATGCACCAGGGAATGAGGTAAGCCTCACTCCTAATTTCCAAACATGGAAAAATGTTTCTATCATATACCACCTAAGCCAACTGTGACCTATGACCTATGACCTATGAAGCCAACCAATTAATTAAGCATCGCTAATTTTGAAATGTTCTTGTTAAGTTGTCAACAAATTCGAATCTTCTCTGGTGCACGACTTTTTTATTATATAGAAACGGTAAGATCACCCCATCATCGAATTATCGTGAGAACATCAAAAGAGAATGCCCATAATGAGAGTGCTCAAGGTGAGAACAATTCGAAAAAGAGTAATGCTGCGAGTTGAATTTTTCTATAATGAGAATTCCAGCTCAAGCAGTCTCTTGGCAAGAACCAAAAGACGAACCTGCCACTTTTATTATACTCTCTGTGTATTTATATACTCATATTTAAGGTCAAGGACACAGATTATTAAATATTATTGATCAAGTTGGTTTAAACTTTTGAGTTTGACTGATTCCACATAGCTGAACTATACAGAAGTTTTGCTAAAATCTACATGATCAAAAATGTCCCACTCCACCAGGTACCCATATTTAAATTGGAGACCTATCGAACCAGAAGCTACAATTGAGATGTACAGATTAACTCAAGAAGTAAATCAAAGTTCTGAATCGGTATTATTATCGATGGAAGCGTCCATCGTTAATCGTTAATTTGAACATTAAGAGAGAGAGATTCATCCTTATGCGTTGTGAAAGGAGAGAGAAATGTCCTTATTCATCACTAATTAAGAATCTTTGTTGGACACTGGTGATTGAAATAGCTAAAAAATTCCGAACGGATCATGAACTTCACTAGGAATCCTTGTTGAACACTGTGATTGAAATAGTAAAAGAAATAAGTGTAGCAGTACTCTTTTAACATACTGATACATGACATACCTGCTGTTTTAATTTCATAAATGACTCAATGGACTTGGATATTAAGTTCCAGATATTTATACACGAAGTGTTGCTGTTGTTTTTGGTAGCTTTGACCAACCTCACACACAGCCAATGCATGCATACAATGAATTAAACTAAAAGGGGGATTTGGGACCATATGCTACTTTTACATTACATAAACAAAGTTGTTTTTGCACTTCTATTAAAAAAAGGCTGCATAACAGAATATAAGATCCAATTGCCTATAGTTACATCTAAGACTTACCTCCATAAGAAAACATTTTGGGGCATTGATATCATCATATATCTAATCAATGTTTCATCAGCGACATAAATTAACCACCAACACCCCCCTTGCTCTTGCACAATATACACCTACATCAAAAGGGAAAAAGTCTTTGCTTTTTTTTCTCTCCAAAACAACTTCAACTACCTCATTCATGTCATGAGCTCCTACCTATGTCTTTGACAGGTAATTCTCCACCATTGAAAGATGCAGCTGCGGTTGAAACATCAAGGCCGCCTCCAATGGAGGTCATTAGTGCCGATAACCCGCTAGTTGGGCCGCCGCCAACAGCCATGCCCAACCCGAGAAGATCAAGCGTAGTCTGCTTGGGACCAAAAACAGATGGAGTTCCCAACATCAATTCCTTAAGACCAGAACCCCCGTCGCAGGCAAGTCCAAGTCCAAGCCCTGCAGCCAGTGATGCACTCCCCGGCTCAATTTGCTGCCGGTGCCACTCTTGCTGTCCTGCTGAAGATGAAGAAGAAGAAACAATCCCAAACCCTCTCAGCAATGATGCATTTGTTGCTGCAGCACCCATCTGAGCAGCCTTCTGTAGTAATGCTGTTGCAGACATTGTCGGCTGAGGCGGCGGTGCATATTGCCGACGTTCTTGCCCTGCAGTTCCGAAAATTGATGACCCGTGATTGGTTGCAAGGCAGAGGGAAATGGGTTCCATGGACGAGGGCGGTGCAAGGTCGGGTGTAGGTTCAGAACGAGCCATGGAGTGGATTAAGTCGGTAAAACCATGTGTTTCAGGTTGTAAACTTGCTGAAGCTGTCGATGAAGCAAATAAGCTTGCAAATACACTACTGCTTGTACTTCCATTGCTGCTTGACATACTACTATTGCTACAGCTTCCAGTTAACCCAGGTGTTAATGGCTTATCTTCTAACATCTTTGTAGAATTAAGATTTTCTGGCAATTCTGTAACATTAACAACAACAAGAACAACAACAAAAAGAGAGAGAAATTTAAAAAAGAATTACTAATCTACACAGTAAACAGACAAGAGAGAGACTTTTCTTATTAAACAACTTTATTTGAAGTAAAAGCAGAACCAATAATGGTTGCCTTTCTGAATACCCACTTCTCTCTTTTTTTTAGCTTTTGAATCTCCATGTTTCATACTTTATCAAGATTATATAGATTCAATCTTAAAGCTCCACCAAGAAGCTCTTTTTTTTTATTTCTTACTTGCTTTCTAATTCCTATTCTTGAAATCTCAAGATCAGTTACTAGCTTAAATGTCTAATTTTCTATACATACAGGCGAAAACAAAGATCAGTAACAGACAAAACAACTAAACTCCAAAGATCAAGAGAGAGAAACAAGAAAAAAAATCGTTGGTATGTTTAACTAAAACGCATCCGACAAAATCATAATTAAAAAATGCAAAATTTTCAGATTTGGGTAATCTTACCTGTACTCTGAATTGGCATTACTGAAGATATAACAGCCGTTGACTGAGGAAGACCTGTTGTTGCAGCTGGTGGCGGTGGTAGTGGTAGTGGCTGCGGCGGTGGTGGTGGTGATGAAGCTGCTGGTGGAAGTTTTGGGACTTCTTCTGCTTTTGGTGTTGCCACTACTGTCAGTGCTTTGATTTTGCTTTGAAAAGTGAGTCTTGATTCAACAATAATTAGTTTTTCTTTTCTTTTTGCCCACCACCATTTTAAGAGATTCTTCACATACTACTACTACTAGATTCAACAATAATTAGTTTTTCTTTTCTTTATGCCCACCACCATTTTAAGAGATTCTCGAAAAAAATTATACTCCCTCCCTCTCATTTTAAATTATAAGTCATAGTTTTCGAAACGCACATTTAAAATGAAACAGAGGGAGTAAATTTTCTCTAATTTCAAATATATTTTGAATTTCGTGAACTTTAAATTGCTTAGAAAGTGGAGTGCCATATATTATTTTTGTTTTTACATTGCCAATTTAACACAACTTTCTGAAATATAACAAACAAGTGTTGTTATTGGGCCAATAGGCCTATCCAGGCCGAGTTAGTTATGGTATAGAACCCAGCCTGGTCCATTAAAATCAGGCCTATTTGACTAAGCGGAGCTAAAGTACAGTGTGGGACACTTTTGGGCTGGGCGGTTTGTTTGGCCCATGACGTCATTTACAAAAATAGAGAGAAAATGGGGATTTAGGAATGATTGGTATTAGAATAATTTGTAAATCTCAAGTAATTGGAGAAAATGTAATAAATAATTTTAAGTTAGAAAACAAATAAGTAAAATACGTTAATAATGTGAAAGAGAATTTTGTAATTACTTGAATAGATTAATTATTATATATGAATTATTCGGAAATAACTTTAAAACTGTTAAAATATATGTGAATATAAGCATCAATTTTGATGGGTATCCAATTTATTTACATGAAGAAGTATATGAAGTAAAAATAAATCTTTAGAGACAAGCCCACAATGATTGAAGCAAGAGTAGAAAACACGACTAAGCGAGTTTGCTGACTATAGTCTTTGTTGGACACAATATCCAAAATCGATTTTGTATTTTATCAACTGACTACACTATTTATGGAATACTACCTACTGAAAAATGATATATTTAGGCTCACTTTGATAGAGTGGAAATGGGAGGAAAAAGAAGGAAAGGTGATAGAGAGTGATTAAAAAATTGTGTTTGGATAAATTTGGTGGAAGGAAATGAAAGGAAAGGGAAGGATTTGAAGGGTTAACACAAGGCTTCAACAGTAGATTTCTTAACGTTCAAAAAATGGACGAAAACGGAAAGAGAGGCTTGGTTAGTGATTTCTGATGCCAAATTTGCCCTGGATTACACACAAAACCCATACCTACAAGTTAGCAGTTGCAGAGAGAAAAGGGGGCAAGCTTGAGGTTTTGATTTTCTGAACAATCTGAAATTTTCTAAACAGCGACGATGGAACCCGAACTGCGTTTTGAACTTTTGATTCTTGCAAACTGATGTGGGTCTTGAACTTCTGATGCTTTCGCGGAGAGAGAGAGAGAGGGCAAGTTCTGAGTTGAGAACGAGAATAGAGATGGAGCGAGAGATGAGGCTGAAATGATTTGCCCTTTTTTTTTTTTTTTTTTTTCTTTTCTTTTCTTGTGGCCATAGGAGACTATAGGACTATATATATATATATATATATAATAGAGATGTGGAGGTGAGATGAGGCTGAAATGATTTACCCTATTTTTTTGTTTTTTTTTCTTTTCTTGTGGCCATAGGAGACTATATATATATATATATATATCATAGAGATGGAGGCAAGATGAGGCTGAAATGATTTGCCCTTTTTTTTTTTTTTTCTTTTCTTGTGGCCATATTTTTTTTCTTTCTTTTCTTGTGGCCATAGGAGACTATATATATATATATAGTCTTTTCTTGTATCCTTTAAAGTATAAAAAGGTATAATAATCAATTTATTAAAATAATTCCCTTTCCTTTCTTTGCCTTCCTTTTCCCAAACATAATTATTACCCTTCCCTTTCTTTTCCTTCATTAATCAACCAAACACAATACAAAATTAAAATTATCCTTCCCTTCACTTTCCTTTACCTCAAAACTAATATTATCCTTCCCCTTCTTCAAACCCACCCTACCAAACATACCCTTAATGTATACACTACTATACAACCAACTTGACGTAATAATTAAAAGTTGTTATACATACTTATTTTTAAAAAAAAAAATTGATATTAATCCTTTTTGGATTCTATTTATCAGAGTAACTACAAAAATTGATCGATTTTTGTAACAGTACTCTTTAAGTCACGCAAAAAATTGATGGGGGTATGATATGTCCTTGTCAGTTCGGGCTCGAATCCTTTGAAGTGAATTCCCATGCGGTCCCCTGCAATGAGCTCCTAAGTGGTTTATATTTGGCCACGTCTTTTTTCATTTAACAGACACTAGGCAGTGTTTAGATGCAGCAATTACAAAAAAGTGAAAACCATCTTTACCCTCAAAATAAGGTATGCACATAGTGCAAACTAAGTAATATCAGACATAAACGTAACTCAATTCAACATCTCATTTATGTTATTATTTGAAATTAAAGTATTTTAAAAATACTTTAATGTGTTAATTTAAAAAATTTAAACCAAAATTAAAATCACTTGAATTAACTTTAGACAACCAATAAAACACTTGATATTTCCAAAATTAATGAAAAGAATCACATCTTCTTCGTTTTTTTTCTTTTAAATATTAAAAAACATACACTTAGGTATAAATTATTTAACATATCTTTGAAAAAAAATTGACAAAGTTTAATATTAATTGCCACACTCACCACCTTCACCATCAAAAAAAGGTATTCACATAATGCTGAAAAACTAATAGTCACACATAAATCTAACTCAATTCAACTTATTATTTATATATTTTTTAAGTTAAATTTTATCATAAAAAATAAAACATCCAAAAAAATAGTCACATGTTAATTTAAAGAGGATTTTGAAGGGGATTATGAGGTATTTGGCTGTCAAAAACCTTCACTTTTTAATAGTGATGTTACCTCTTACAAATATTGATGTTACTTTTTAAACATGGTAATCTTACAAATGGTGATATTTAAATGAAAAAAAGCGTGACCAAATATAAACCACTCAAGAACTCACTGCAGTGGTGTCGCATGGGAATCCAGTTCAGAGGATTTGCTACCTTGTCCGTTCTGGACTTGATTAGGAATCACTATAACGCACAAAAGGGTATTTGCCAAGCCAAGGGTTTCACAACAGTATTGTGAAATTTGCCCCTAACTTGTTGGACAGACATGGATGTAGACACCAAAGGCAAGAGGATTCGGATTCGGATTCGGATTGGAGTCCATGGCAGGATATGGATCAAAACATTCTGATCTGATACACATATTCGAGCTAGTAGGGCAAGGTCCAAGGTGGACACAACACTTGTTTGTCAATGTGTCTTCCGTTTGCCATGCATGTTGGGAGATTTTACTAATGTATGCAAAGTGGATCCATGAGTAAATTCCCCATTCTTGGCTTACCCACCGAATCAATTCTAAGTGGTAACTGATTCATTCACACACACATATATGATATAGAGATCAAAATTCTCTCTTGGTCACGTTTGTTTGTTTGTTTGTTTTTTTTTTTTTTTTTTTTTTTTTAGTCGCATGAAATTGGAGCTTTAGAATTGAAATTGATAAAATTTGAAAAAAACAACTAAAAAAAAAAATTTGAATCAAGATTTTGACAAATTCCACTAATTGTAAGACTCTAATTCTATGCCGTCGGAAACATCGTAAGGATAATTACAAATACATGAAATTTTGAAGAAAGCCTTTTAAAATCATAAAGTCAAATTCAAACACTTCTCAAAATCATGTTGTGGGGGAAAAAATATCCCAGACCAATTGCGATCAACCACGTCACCATATGTAATTTTAAAATATTTTTCTTTGGTCATCCAACTTTGAAAGCCCAATTCGGTAGGCCCAAGGATTTGTCTTTACTCTTGCAGTCCGTTGGCTCCAGCCCAACCCATAGCTTGCCATGAAAAAGGTCTGCTGATTTGAATTTATCAATCACACAATTGGAGATATGGAAGGAGTCTTTATGGAAAAATTACATACCTCCAGTAAGAATTACACAATTGAATTTATTCGTGTCAAAAAAATTTGTATAAATAAAGGCACAGAACTCCAATAATGATAGACATTGAAACCTCAATCTTTGTTTTGTATTACTTTGATCATTTTTATTCAGTGTATTGTGCTTATTGTTTGACTTTTTAAAATTGATGAATTTTGACACCTACACATTTTTTTTTTTGAAAGAGTGCGAACGAATAGTGTTTTTCCAATGTTCATATCAGACTTTTAGAGAAGTACATGATTTTGAAAAACATCGGCTTTTGACTCAATGAATTTGAAAGTTATCTTCCAAAACTCCATGCATTTTTAATTATCCCTTTACTACTATAATAGTAAAAATTCCACCGGTTTGAATTTCATTACTATTTGCTTACAACTGAACTCTCACCATTATAATAGCAAAACTCACCATTTATAATATTTACGCATGCAGGAAACTTTGAAAGCGCTATTCTTGTTAGTAAATTTTAAGTCTATTATTATTATGCTAGTCGTTACTAACAATATTTTTACGCATTTTTTATATTTATTTATTGTTGTTGACAATGATAGGGTATCACCTCTTATAACACTCAATAGTTTACGATGAATTATTAGGCAAATTACACAAATCACCTACGAGATTTTTATATTATGCATGTAGATAGAAGTTATAGTAATATTACATAAAGGTGCATATTGACCGATTGACCACAAAAAATCAATATAAATTTACACTTCTGACCTTAAAATTAAAATATTTATTTTTAATAAAAGATATTGTATATTAGGAAGTTTCATTTTTGCCCTGGGTTCACCCCATGACTTCCCTACCACATCATTGCTTCCCTACTACATCACTCATCTTTTCTCTCTCTAAACACATCAATCAAATTACACGTTTCCAAGGAAACGAAGAAGTTAGGATAACGCCAAGCCAAGTTGCCGGAGGAAAATCATCCATATTCCAATACAATTTGCCCTTTGTTCAGGTGGGTCTTATCGGACTGGTGTGTTTCTGTTGCCCTGGCATGTTCAATGCCCCTATCGGGTATAGGCGGTGGTGGGCAGGTAGACCAAACGACAGCCAACAACGACAATACCACCAAGCAAAAGGACTCTCGGCAGTGAAATGCAGCGATGGCTCGGAACAACGGTAAAACTGAATCGTCGTGGATGACTCGTGGCTGTAGATGAACTGCGACAGTGCACGGCGAGACGGATCTGGCTTTGGCGACGGCAGACCATCATCATCATCCTCAATTCACCCCTTCTCAACTCCACCCATCAGTCATACTCATCCATCACCCAAATCCCACCTCACCAATACTGCAACCCTAACTCTTCTCTAACGCTGCAACACCCTTCTGCTCATCCATCACCCAACCTTAACTCTCACCACCAACAACGTGCCGCTGATGGAAAAAGATGGGATCGTACTCTGATCTTGGTGGGAATGGAAGTCAAGAATCATCCTTAGCCTTCTTGGGTTGAAAAATTGGGGGTTTTGATGGAGAGATGTGGAGGAAAAAATTGGCAATCTGAGGAAGAAGACGATTGCCGCGACGTAAGGGGCATGCAGAGCACGCAATTTGCAGTTACCTGCATGTGTTGAAGGCATGAAATTATGTCATGCCACTGCTGCAAAATCGATTTATTGATGACAATTTGGTAAACCCGTGGCCACCACCTGCAAATCAAGATCGATAGTTGTAGTGATGTTGCAATCTTTGGCACCACCCATACCAAGTTTTGATTCAAACCCAAGTGGCGTGAAGGTGGGTGATGAAAGGTAAGATTTGAAGGTTTGGTGGTTCAGTTTATCTCGACGGTCAGTTGGCACCTCTCTCTGATGAGGTTCGATACGACTACCGTTGCAAATCCATCTTTGCCGGCGACCACAAACCCAAAATCCCAACTTGGTGATGGGTTAGGGGCAAAACCGTAACTGTAAAATACACAAAAAAAAAAATTTCATTTTTTCATTAAACAAATAGTTTAACTCTAAGAACAAAAATATAAATTCATATCAATTCACTAACCACAAATAGTTAATTTGGGTATTTCTGTTATATTGTGACCATCTTCTATCTACATGTACAAGTTAAAAAACTGATGAGTACTTTGTGTAATTTGCCCTAAATTATTACATAATCTACTACCAAACTCATGCATCCCATTTTTCCACATGCACCATGTAATTTAAGAAATTCTCTAGGGTGACTCCAAAGAGTATGAATTCCCAACTACCAATAGCTAGGAGTACTCTTACCATTTCAAAATTTAATAAAATGAAAATGTAAAGAACAATTAAAAATTCATAATTATAACAATCTTTTATTCCTCTTAGTTTGAAGAATTTGAACATAAGATAATGCACTAGATATATATCATGGTAACCCTTAGTGAGGGTAAATCTCGTGACAAGTTGAAAGATCGAGGTTTTAAGTTATCATAACAAAAGTGGGTGTGTTAATTATTTGACTCGTAAATTAAAAAATGTACCAGTTTAGAAGAGATAGAAGTGTTTACTTCGGGCGCAAATCATCTGCTGTGCGGTTTTCATGTTGTCTCCTGCAGTGAACGTTAAGTGGTCTTAGTTTGGCAACGTTTTACTCCACTCAATATATACTAAGACTGTGTTTGGCAATTACACAATCATTTATTAGTAACATTTCACCACCATTTATAAGTATTTTCACCCTAAAAATAAGGTATTCACACAATACAAACTAAGTAATGTCACATACAAACGTAACTCAATTCACAACTATTTATAACTAATATTTCACCACCATTTATTAGTATCTTCACCCTCAAAATAAGGTATGCACATAATGCAGATTAAGTAATGTCACATACAAACGTAACTTAATTCAACATATCATTTATGTTATAATTTGAAATTAAAGTATTTTAAAAACACTTTAACATGTTGATTTAAAGAATTTAAATCAAAATTAAAATCACTTGGATTAACTTTAGATAACAAACAAAACACCTCGTTGTTTCCAAAAATAACGAAAAGAGCCACATCTTTTTTTTTTTTTCTTCAAAATATTAAAAAAAACATGCACTTAGTTTTAAATTATTTAACATATCTTTGAAAATTATTTAGGAAAATTTTATATTAATTGTCACACACACAACCTTCACCATCAAAAGAAAAAAATTGGCAAAGTTTAAAATTAATTGTCACACTCACCACCTTCACCATCAAAAAAATGTATTGACATAGTGTTAAATAACTAATAGTCATACATAAATCTAACTCAATTCTACATATTATTTATATATTTTTTAAGTTAAATTTTATCATAAAAATAGAACATCCAAAAAAATAGTCACATGTTAATTTAAAGAAGAATTTAAAGGGGATTATGAGGTATTTGACTATCAACAACCCTTTACTTTTTAAGTAGTGATGTTACCCTTTTACAAATGGTGATGTTACTTTTTAGACTCATATAATATTACTTTTAGACTTTTGTGATATTACTTATAAATGGTGGTGAAATGTTACTTATAAATAGTGGTGTAATTACAAATGGTGATGTTACTTTTTAGACCCATGTGATATTACTTTCAGACTTCTGTGATGTTACTTATAAATGGTGGTGAAATGTTACTTATAAATAGTGGTGTAATTACAAATGGTGATATTACTTTTTAGACTCATGTGATATTTCTTTTAGACTTCTGTGATATTACTTATAAATGGTAGTGAATGTTACTTACAAATAGTGGTGTAATTGTCAAACACAGTCTTAGTGTCTATTGAGTAAAGTAAAACGTGGCCAAACCAAGACCACTTAACGCTCATTGCAAGAGACAGAATGAAAACTGCACAGTAGGGGATTTGCGCCCGTTTACTTCAAATGAAAGTGACAAGAAGCCTACCAAAACATATATAGAATTAAGTAATTAAAAATGAACTTAAAAAATTAAATATTCAAAGAAATATTGTGTATAATAGAATAGATAGAAAAAGGAAAAGTGGATGGCAAATATGATAATGATTATTGAAAATAAAAATAAAAAATCCTTTAACAAAATGAATTTTCAAATTATATTTTGTTCAAATCTGATAGCACAACTTTTGATCAGAAAATATTTGATGCTTTAACATCAAAAGTATATAAATATGTGTAAATTAGATTAAATTAATTTGAAAAATGGTACACACAGTTGGAAATTGACTAATTTTAGAAAACACAGTGACTTATTTAATACTTCAGACTGGCATGCACCATCTTTGGAGGGAGTGTACTGGATGATCATTAATAATGCAGATGCAGGCATCTGAAGCTGGTGGACCTCCCCTCTGATTCTTTCATTGCTTTCCAAGATCTTGACCATACTGAAACCAATAGTCTTCTGTGTGTGTGTGTGTGTGTGAGAGAGAGAGAGATAGAGAGAGAGAGAGAGAGAGAAAAGTGTTCTTAAAACAAGGCTATTATCACTCATACACTCCATAAATTTTTTTTTTTTTTTTTTTTTAAGTTATCCCGGAAAGGAATGAATTCTTAGGTGCCTCAATAATCTGAATAATTCTTGAGAAGGGTGGCTTTCTATCAGGACCGACTAAGTCACTGTAAGGATGACGAAAGCTAACTACAAAGAATACTCAGCGGAGACTCAAATCTTAGACCTAGGGTTTATGAAGACTCTAAATCCAACGAGAAACTCACTGGGCCATATCCAAAGTAGACACACTCCATAAAGTGTGCATCTAGGTGTGATTATGTTTTATTTGAATGTGACATAAATGACATTAATCATATGCAAATCTGGAAAAACACATTGGAACAAACTAGTAGAGATGAGATTATGAGTGGGTGGTTGATGAAGAATTTCAGTAAGAATACACATTACAATCATGGACTTGATTCTCTGAGCCATGAAAACGTAGCCGTGCCAAAGATTTTAGTACATTTTTGGTTGAGCGACATAAATTTAAAAGTGAAATGTCTAACCTAACTTGGGTCAAAATCGTACCGACGAGTTGACATTTTGATGAATTTTAATAAATAATTTCTACCCACAATTTAATAAGAATGACCGTGTATTACTTAATATTTTGTACGATAAATTGAATTGCATTCTCGATTTAACAGTGCTATAATATTATATTTTAATTAATATACATTGTATAAGAATTGCATTCTCGTAATAAATATATTGCATGCGTGTTTATATTACTATTATATAAATATATATATGTATATTTTTTTTTTAATATAACGTGTTACATTCTCTATTTAAAATCTAATTAGATCATCTTTCCTGACCCTTAAAAGCAATGTATCATATCTGGTCTATTTTGATAAATAAATAACAATATCAAGTGACAAAAACTAGTATCAACAAATATTTTTGGCAAGTTAAACTAGTTTCAATTTTCTTAAATTAATATAACTTTATATACGACTCTGTTTGTACCATACCATGCTATGGGCCAATACACACCATTAGGGTCAACCATTATTAATTAGCAAAGGGACCCTGTAGAGTTGACTTGTACGATTGACTATACTCCACTTTTGTATAAATAAATACAATATTAAATTAAACCAATAAAAGGTGTAATATTACCTTCTTATGCCCATTTTTCACTTTTTTTTTTTAAAAAAAATAATAATAATAATAATAATTGATAAATAGTTCGAAGTTGAACACATTCCATTGATAGTTCAACATTTGTATAAATGTAATTGGATATATTCTCAACTCTCTATTATAAATTATTTTTATTAAATGTGAATTAAAAGAGGATATTCTTCATCTTTCCGAATCTAATGAGGGAGATGCGCCAGGGAATGAGGTAAGCCTCACTCCTAATTTCCAAACATGGAAAAATGTTTCTATCATATACCACCTAAGCCAACTGTGACCTATGACCTATGACCTATTTAGCCAACCAATTAATTAAGCATCGCTAATTTTGAAAAGTTCTTGTTAAGTTGTCGACAAATTCGAATCTTCTCTGGTGCACGACTTTTTTATTATATAGAAACGGTAAGATCACCCCATCATCGAATTATCGCGAGAACATCAAAAGAGAATGCCCATAATGAGAGTGCTCAAGGTGAGAACAATTCGAAAAAGAGTAATGCTGCGAGTTGAATTTTTCTATAATGAGAATTCCAGCTCAAGCAGTCTCTTGGCAAGAACCAAAAGACGAACCTGCCACTTTTATTATACTCTCTGTGTATTTATATACTCATATTTAAGGTCAAGGACACAGATTATTAAATATTATTGATCAAGTTGGTTTAAACTTTTGAGTTTGACTGATTCCACATAGCTGAACTATACAGAAGTTTTGCTAAAATCTACATGATCAAAAATGTCCCACTCCACCAGGTACCCATACTTAAATTGGAGACCTATCGAACCAGAAGCTACAATTGAGATGTACAGATTAACTCAAGAAGTAAATCAAAGTTCTGAATTGGTATTATTATCGATGGAAGCGTCCATCGTTAATCGTTAATTTGAACATTAAGAGAGAGAGATTCATCCTTATTCATTGTGAAAGGAGAGAGAAATGTCCTTATTCATCACTAATTAAGAATCTTTGTTGGACACTGTGATTGAAATAGCTAAAAAATTCCGAACGGATCATGAACTTCACTAGGAATCCTTGTTGAACACTGTGATTGAAATAGTAAAAGAAATAAGTGTAGCAGTAATCTTTTAACATACTCATACATGACATACCTGCTGTTTTAATTTCATAAATGACTCAATGGACTTGGATATTAAGTTCCAGATATTTATACACGAAGTGTTGCTGTTGTTTTTGGTAGCTTTGACCAACCTCACACACAGCCAATGCATGCATACAATGAATTAAACTAAAAGGGGGATTTGGGACCATATGCTACTTTTACATTACATAAACAAAGTTGTTTTTGCACTTCTATTAAAAAAAGGCTGCATAACAGAATATAAGATCCAATTGCCTATAGTTACATCTAAGACTTACCTCCATAAGAAAACATTTTGGGGCATTGATATCATCATATATCTAATCAATGTTTCATCAGCGACATAAATTAACCACCAACACCCCCCTTGCTCTTGCACAATATACACCTACATCAAAAGGGAAAAAGTCTTTGCTTTTTTTTCTCTCCAAAACAACTTCAACTACCTCATTCATGTCATGAGCTCCTACCTATGTCTTTGACAGGTAATTCTCCACCATTGAATGATGCAGCTGCGGTTGAAACATCAAGGCCGCCTCCAATGGAGGTCATTAGTGCCGATAACCCGCTAGTTGGGCCGCCGCCAACAGCCATGCCCAACCCGAGAAGATCAAGCGTAGTCTGCTTGGGACCAAAAACAGATGGAGTTCCCAACATCAATTCCTTAAGACCAGAACCCCCGTCGCAGGCAAGTCCAAGTCCAAGCCCTGCAGCCAGTGATGCACTCCCCGGCTCAATTTGCTGCCGGTGCCACTCTTGCTGTCCTGCTGAAGATGAAGAAGAAGAAACAATCCCAAACCCTCTCAGCAATGATGCATTTGTTGCTGCAGCACCCATCTGAGCAGCCTTCTGTAGTAATGCTGTTGCAGACATTGTCGGCTGAGGCGGCGGTGCATATTGCCGACGTTCTTGCCCTGCAGTTCCGAAAATTGATGACCCGTGATTGGTTGCAAGGCAGAGGGAAATGGGTTCCATGGACGAGGGCGGTGCAAGGTCGGGTGTAGGTTCAGAACGAGCCATGGAGTGGATTAAGTCGGTAAAACCATGTGTTTCAGGTTGTAAACTTGCTGAAGCTGTCGATGAAGCAAATAAGCTTGCAAATACACTACTGCTTGTACTTCCATTGCTGCTTGACATACTACTATTGCTACAGCTTCCAGTTAACCCAGGTGTTAATGGCTTATCTTCTAACATCTTTGTAGAATTAAGATTCTCTGGCAATTCTGTAACATTAACAACAACAAGAACAACAACAAAAAGAGAGAGAAATTTAAAAAAGAATTACTAATCTACACAGTAAACAGACAAGAGAGAGACTTTTCTTATTAAACAACTTTATTTGAAGTAAAAGGAGAACCAATAATGGTTGCCTTTCTGAATACCCACTTCTCTCTTTTTTTTAGCTTTTGAATCTCCATGTTTCATACTTTATCAAGATTATATAGATTCAATCTTAAAGCTCCACCAAGAAGCTCTTTTTTTTCATTTCTCACTTGCTTTCTAATTCCTATTCTTGAAATCTCAAGATCAGTTACTAGCTTAAATGTCTAATTTTCTATACATACAGACGAAAACAAAGATCAGTAACAGACAAAACAACTAAACTCCAAAGATCAAGAGAGAGAAACAAGAAAAAAAATCGTTGGTATGTTTAACTAAAACGCATCCGACAAAATCATAATTAAAAAATGCAAAATTTTCAGATTTGGGTAATCTTACCTGTACTCTGAATTGGCATTACTGAAGATATAACAGCCGTTGACTGAGGAAGACCTGTTGTTGCAGCTGGTGGCGGTGGTAGTGGTAGTGGCTGCGGCGGTGGTGGTGGTGATGAAGCTGCTGGTGGAAGTTTTGGGACTTCTTCTGCTTTTGGTGTTGCCACTACTGTCAGTGCTTTGGAACTCTCCTCTGCTAATGCATCACAAAATGCTCTGTGTGTGATAAAACTATCCCTCCTTCAAACAATCAAAACCATTTTAACTTCATAAACCCAAAAAAATGAAAAATTGAATACACTAACAGATGATTGAATTGAATTTAACAGAGACAAAAGATCGAAAACCTTGAAAACATAGTTCCGCAATCGCATTTGTACTCTCTGGTTCCACAAATCTTCGAATGAGCCTTCCAATCGGACTGGACTGCGTATTTCTTCGAACACTTGTCGCACTTCCACTTCTTCTCCCCATGCTTTCTACAGAAATGCTTCTTTATCCCCGTGAGATCGCCCAATGCTCGCGACGGATCGTGGTGAACACACGACGGTTCGGGGCAGACATAGACTCGCTTCCGGACCTCCTTGCTTGACCTCTGCCTCAGCTTCCATGGAAGGTTGTGTCCCCTCCGATGGAGCTGCAAATTCTGGTCTCGCTGAAACCCTTTGTTGCAAATTTCGCAGACGAATCGATTCGTCGCCATCAGAGTCTTCGGAGACAGAGCAATCACCTCTGCGTTCGGATCTATGAACAAAACACAAACCCAAATCGAACATAAATTTCATTTCAATCAATTAATTGATTGTGTATAACAATTATTCTTTTACCTGGCATTCCGGGGAGGTTTCGCTTCTTCTTCATCGCAAGCTTCGGAGGTTCGGCTTGATTGCCGGAGGAAGAGACGCTGGCTTCGCCGGAAGCGGTGGAACCGTTCATCGCCGACGAGTTATCTAATTCGGCTGACATCGTGATGAAGTTGGTACCAAAGGGATGAAATCTAGGGCATTTAAGGTGAAGAAACTTCTGGAATTGCTTTTCTAGGGTTTCGAATGAAGCTCTCTCTCTCTATCTGCCAGTCAATCTTGCTTTCACTGTTCACACCTAATAGATTATGATTAATCTCTGACCCAAAAGAAACCCAGATTCACAAAGAGGCTAATTATCGAAACCCGTGTTCCGAAATCAGCTCAAAGCTCGGAAAATTGATGGGAAACCAGAACGATGAGTCGCCGATAACAAGCTGCGAAGTGTCTCCGGCGAACACAGTACGATTACAACGGTCAAAATCGAATGAAAAAAAGCTCACTTTAAAGCAATGGAACTAGAGAGAGAGAATTTGTGAGGTTTCGGACATTTTCAGACCCCTGAAATCTAGCTCCTCAGCTGTCATTGGGGAACGACTCTCCGAACAAACCGATATTAACGCCGGAGATCAGAATCTGAACGGTCTTGGTAAGTCGGCGACTAGTAAGAGAGAGTTTGTAGAGAGAGAGAGAGATTGGGAAGGCTTGTCTGTGTAGGTGGTCTTCACTTTTCTTTTCCTTCTTACTTTTCATAAGTGGTAAAATAAATGGAAAAATCACACTTACCTCCCCAGAAGTATAGCGTAATTACAAGGACATCCCTTATTGATCGGCAAATTACAGAAACTCCCACTAGACTTTTTTTTGGTTAGATGGGTCTGAGATTTACCTTTTTGCCTTCAATTATTATAATCTTATTTTACTCCAGAAAAGTTGAACTAAAGTGAAAAAACAATAGTAAATCTGAAATTTTAAAATATAATTTTGGTAGACTGTTGTTTGACTTTATTGGACACTAATGCAGGTCGAAATCTATCTATATGACAAAAGGACTAATAGATTAATGTAACCTCCAAGCTCACGGACTAATTGCAATTTTTTAACTTCAAAGCTTGTACACTAATAGTAATATTTTAACTTCACATCTTGAAGAATAAAGAGTCTGAATCTTCTTGAAGCACCTCAAAAAAAAAATATATATATATATATATATATATCTTTTGATCCCAAAATTCTTTTTATTTTTCTTTTCTCTTTTCTTATTATTCTATTATAAGTCATTACTCCTCTTATATTTTAATTTTAAAATTTTCTTTTTACTTACATCATTCTAAGTTAATTTTGAAGAATCTCTTTGCCTTTTTACCTTTTATGTAAATTAATCTTCTTCTTTTTTGCAAGAATATCACTTTAATACGTTGTATGGTGCATACCACACATAAGTCGGGTTATTTTTATTTTTATAACTTATAGACGCTGATCCTAGTCATATATTTATTCTAGTCACTCCTATTTCCATTTTAATAACTTAAATACATTGTTCTTATTTGTTTCTCGATGTATAATAAGATGGTTAAACGATAATTGGCTTATAAAATTTTCCTTTTGGCTGATGTTGTTTATTATCTTTTATCACAAAAAATATTACTAACATTTGTCTATTTTGTTCAGGCAATCTAAGGGCAATTTCAATAAACCCTCCGAATTCAGACTCTCCGAATTTGCCACATCAGCATTTTCCCATAACCACGTCAGCATTTTCCATAATCACGTCAGCGTTTTAAAATCTCCAAATTTTGATGTACTCCAATGGTGCATTTTCGCTCTCCAAAAATATTAATATTTTAATATTTTTAAAATTTAAAATAAAATTTATTTTTTAACTTTTTCTTAACGGTTATATTTTTCATGTTATATAAACAATGAAAGGTTTTTTTAAAATAAACAAATAAATATGTATATAATTATTTTTAAAAAAAATCAAAAAATAAGTTTTTATGCCAATATAGCTGTTAAAGCACTGTTTGGGTCAGCCAAACAGTGCCTAAAACGACTATATGTCAATAAGAATATTTTAAAAAGTAAATTTTTTTTAAAAAAAAAATCACTTTTATCTATTTTTTAAAAACTTTTTTTGCCCAAAAAAGCCTTTAAGACACTATTTGTATCAGCCAAACAGTGCCTTAAGCTCTTTGGTTCAATTATTTTGAGGAAAAAAAAAAAAAAAAAAAAGACCAAAATCAGCCAAAAAAAGCTAATTTTTTCCTTTTTTTCAGCCGAACGAGCCTTACCAAACAGTGTTGTGGGCTAAAACACTGTTTTGACCAGAATTAAAAAAGAAAAAGAAAACTAATGCGGGCCCGCATGTCAAGCCCGCAATTCGCCAAACCAATCTTGGTTTTTGGCGACTTGGATCAAGATTGTCTTAATGGGGCCCACTTTTTGAAGAGTCCATTGGAGCAGCCCAGTCTTCAAAACTGGCCCAAAATCGCCGAATCACTCACTATTGGACGTACTATAATTCTACTAGTCACATCAGCTTTTATCTCCCATCCTTTGTACTAATGATAGTAAATATTCCCTATGTTCTAAATTAAAAGTCCATTTCAAATATTGTGAATCACTCTCAAAATGAACATTTAATTTGGAATAAAAGGAGTATTATAGAGTTGGTATTATCTTTGCACGAAACTGGGTTAAATTTTTTTGATAAGCCAAAGGCCTTTGGAAATTTTGTTAAATTTTGTTCTTACAACTTTTTTATAAGTATCCAATAGCACTATGTCTTGGTAAACCTGCACTATCACCATGGACTATGTTCTATTTTTTTTTTATTTTGGTAATTTCACCTCAAACTATTGTAAATAAATAGAGATAAGTGCAGAAAAACACCCCTATAGTATACCCCGTATAACACTTTTATTTCTATTTGAAAAAGTGTGCAAAAAAAACCTCTAATATTTTTATATTGTGCAAAAATACCCCCTCTGACATAAATTAGTATTGTAATACCTGTTTTACCCTTTTACTCTTCCGAAAATGTCCAAAGGGGTATATATGTTACTAATCTCATACTATATGGGTGTTATGTGCACGTTACCTTATTATTTATTTATTTTTTTGAAACTTTTTTCTCTATATATATCTCTAAACATTTAAAAAAAAAAAAACTTTGAGAATTTATAGAATAAATATTTGAATTTTTTGAGATTTCAGTTACTATTTTCTACTAAAATTTCTTTTTCTTTATTTTATTTTTTTTCGTACCAACACTGCTAAAAAAAAAAAAAAAAAAAAAAAAAAAATTCCAATATCAGTGTGCACTGATTTTCGGAGTTTGGAGCAAATTTGTTTTCTTTAGTTTGCACTTTTTTTTTTTTGTTTTTTTTTCTATTTATCTTTACTTTTCTTTTATACATTTATTTTATATTTTATATTTTTATCTTTACTTATCCATTGTCAGCGTTCTCCAATTGTATTATTTTCGGTCATTTTATAAAAAAATTTATTTCTATATATTTTATAAAATGATTCAATAAGGGTAATTTAGTCAACTTAGAGTTTAAATTTGTCAAAATGACCTATTTACACCAAATTGAAACTTTAGGGGTGCTTTTTTGCATGTGAGGAGCATCCTCCAATAGTGTCATTTTCGGTCATTTTACAAAATTATTTATTTTTATATATTTTATAAAATGGTTTAGCAAGGGTAATTTAGTCAACTTAGAGTTTAAATTTGTTAGATGGACCTATTTGTACCAAATTGAAACTTTAGGAGTATTTTTTTGTACGTGAGGGGTGTGATATACACTCTAACCATACTTTAGGGGGGTGTGATATACACTTTAACCATACTTTAGGGACTTTTTTTGTACTTCACCCTAAATAAATATGAGCTTAATATTGATCCATAGTGTGACAAAACCTTTATAGAAAATTTATTAGTTGTTGCATTTGATAAGAAATTTAATTTTTGTATTGGTATGCATATCCTAAACAATTTTAATAAGATTTGACGGGATTTGATATTTTATAAAGTGACCATATTATATCTATATGAAAGGCCCATTTTAAGTCTATGAAAATCATAAGCAAATTATTTTGTTTGGTTGTACAATCTTTTATCAATTTTCTAATCAAATAAATGGCCTCCATATGTAATCTCCTTTGTATAAAACCAAAATAGTTTCAGTTATTGTACATTCATTTCTTAATCTTTATTTAACTAACTTTTTTTAATAATTTTTGTTACTATGTTACTGAAATTATTTTTGCTATTATAAAATGTCAATATGGTGTCTTACATTCTTACATTCATTATGTGTCATTCTTTTTTTTAGAATTTTGTTAAATCAATTTGATAGCGCGATTCAACTAAGGGCATATTGTCTCCTATTTTTGCCAACTTGTAAATATTTTTTTCACTTTTTTCCTTACTTTTTATATAAATGAAATGGTACATTTTCTTTCATTTTTTTTGTTATTTTTTCTACTTCATTTTTTTTATTTTGTATATTTCCATTTTTTTTTAAAAACTCTTTCTTTTATTTTGCATTTTTTGTTGTATTTTGTCCCTCCACCGTTTTCTTCTGGATGGGTTTCTTCCCTTTCACCTCTCTATTTTATGTTATTTTGGACATAGGACCCTTCGTACTCCTCAACAAAAGTTCAAACATGACTCAAAAAAAGAATATAAAAGGGAGTTGATATTCGCGTACTAAATTTAACTTTTGACGTTCCTAATTAAACATCTTTGGCTGGTTAACAATATTGTTGAGTAAACTTCTTCTGAGTCGACGTTGTTGGTGGAGTAAATATTGTCTTGCACGACGACAATGGTAAACCTCAAAGGTTAATGTTTTCGGTGATTGTGGATGCAAAAAATTTCATTAGCGTCTAAGGGATTGAACAAAGCTTTGAGATGGTTGTTTGAGACATTGAAATGGACAAAGCTTTGTTGCTGCTCGGCAGCGTATTGGAGAACACATTGTTGGTGAGGAAAACTTCGATTAAGTTAGATTGTTGATGACAAATGGTATTGTTCCTATGGAGTTTTTGGTGGAGAGATAACGGCCAAAAGAGTTAATTCGGTGATGCTAGGTGAGAACTCATTGAAGAATTGGTTGTTGTGGAAGTAGAGGCCATGGAGGAGCTTTAAATTATAGAAATCAGAGAAAATTCAACCGAATAGACAATTGAAACGTAGACTAAGTACTCGGAGCTAGGTTAGTTTTCCAATTGCGTTTGCCGAAATTTGTTCCTCAAGGCCAATGCTCGAAAGTCAAAGATTATAGAAAAATGAGCTATTGGCAACGCCAACCCAATTGCAAGATGATTTGGAGGTAGGGTCATAAGCGAAAAACACCCCCATGGTATGTATATAGAGTGTATAATCCCCTATACGGCTATACGTTTTAAAAAGTCCATAACATTCAATTTTAGAGGGAATAATGACATGAATGCTAAAAAGATTAATATGTCCCTATATAACTAAATAAAAAATAATAATAAAAAAAGTAAAAAAACTAATAAAATGTGAAATGACTAAACTGTCCCTCTTTTTTATATATAATATAAGGTTGTGGGCAAAAAACACCCTTATGGTATGCATATAGAATATATGACTCCTATGCATTCTAAAAACTCCTTAACATTCAATTTTAGTACAAACAAGGATCTGAATGCTAAAAATACTAAAGTATCTGTGGCAACCTTGTAGGCGGATGTATGTGA